TTCACAATCCGTGCCAAGCACCTCACAAAAAATAAAATCTCACTTTCATTTGGCATACATTAAGCATACACACAAACAACACATGACGCCATGGGTCAGTTCCAATTGAAAGTTATATGTCGGTAATAAATACACACAATGAGATCACAGATTGCAATTAGAGACGTTGGCAGTGCGCAATACAACAACAATAAAAAAATATATATATATATATATTTATTATTTAAGATTTATCACGTAAGATGCAACGCGAATGTCTGTGTACAGCTTAACAATTGAGATCAGGTTAAAATTTGGTAACTTATTTTAAGCCGAAACAATTACTATAAAAATTAAATGCATGGTCTATATCGAGTTTAAAGCATTTCGTAAAACTAATAAATTTTCATATTAATTTTTTTATTTATTTTTTGATGCCTTTGACGGCCATTGACTGAACCGAATGAGTGCAACTTGTTACAAGAAATTGTAGTTTTCACGTCATGTGAAACTAGATTATGATCATTATTTACTGACACGTATAGTAATGATAAGGTGTATGAAGCAGTTATAACTGCGAAAAAAAAGTTATTTCTTCATGTTCGTATCGCGACCTTGCTCATTATGCTGTACAGTGACAGCTTAATGTGCTATGGTGACAGAAATGTGAGGGAGATAAAGTGAGGGAAATGAGGTTTTTTCGTCTAAGATTTTAAATTCTCTTATTAACATAGTAATTGTGGAATTAAATGGATATGAATTTGAGAAAAATGTGGTGGTGGATGCAAGCATTTTGCGAGGTTCGTACTTCTTGGAAGTATATTAAGCTTTTGGTGAAAATTTTATAATTAAATGTGAAATCGCAATGAAATGTGACTCTAGATCCAGTAAGACGGCAAATGAGAAGTGTACAATTGCTAGGATTCTTTTAAGTAAAAACTGCTATTTTAGACATCTAGGCCAAATCCATATAATGGTGCTACATCTAGTGCTTTGCTCCTGAGACCACTTTAGTAACGCGAAATGCCTTAAAACATTCATACCGGCTTTAAATTAAGCGACTCTCAAAACAACGTTGAAAATAATAAACGCTGGGCACCTTTTTGTGCTAGATAGAGCTTTATTTCATCCCTTTGAGCTCTTTAGAACCCGACAAATGGCAAATTGTTATGAATAGATTTAACAAGATATAAATCTTAATTAAATTAACAAAAATATCCTTCAGGAACCCGAAAATGTCTCTATCTATTTTTCCCTCCTATATTCCTCCCAAATACTGACCATTCACGATCACAAGGGACACAAAATTTAATCTCATTGTCATAATTTATTTAAACCATGCTCATCCCATGTCCAAACGAATGAGAGAATGAAAAGATGAAAAGAGAAAATTAAATGAGCAACAACAGAGTTCATGCCACAAGCTGAAATATCTTTCCGGAAGTTGTTGATTTGGATAAAAATGATTCTTTAACTTACATTGGAATCGCCACTTAAGTGAATTAAAGAAATTCAAGTTTCTTCCAGTGCAATGTTCCTGCCACGTTTTAAGATTAAAATAGCTTTAAGAATTTTTTTGCTTTCTTTCAAAATTTTAATTGCCAACGTTAGACATGTTCTTGACTCGAGGGAAAAAAAGAAGTAACAGACATCCCTTTCGGTCTTTTCTTAAGCTTACAACAAGTCAAGGCACGAGTAAAAATAATAAAAATTCATTACGTGACATCATTCGGCTAGGACTTGTAGTAAGGTAAAGCATGAAGCTGATACAAAATAAAAGGCTGCAAATCAGATTGGAATGAGGATTTAGAGTCTTCGTTTTCGGTCAAAATAGATGAGATACATATGAGATATGAATAGGTAAAGATCTATGGGCATGTAATGTGCTATGCATACCACTATAAGAAATAGATTAAATTGGGATTTTGAAAGAGCAATAAATAGAAATTGGAAGCTTTTGAAGCTGGTTGAGATAGATTCTTAAAAGAAAAGATGATGAAATGGATAATCATGTCCTGTATTTAATGACAAAGAGGTGTGATTGAAGCACCAAGTTAAGATACAAGAGTTTAAGGTGTGAAATTTTGAGAAAAATGTCAAATTTTGTCCCGGATGCAAAACTTTTACTCAGGAAAAAATTCGCTAAATTGATTCTATCCAATTTCCCCAATCATCTCAAAACAGCCTCATCATCCACTCATCTCCACTCTACTTAAAATCAAATTAACCTCATTTACTCTAACATAACAAAAAGTCATAAAGATGAAGACCATCCAAAAATTAATTAATTAAAATCATTTACAGGAATAACTTTACTATGTACGAAGGCAAGCTGCATCACTTAGTTAACTTAATGCCTTTACAAAAATTAATTCATAGCGTAACATGTTACGGTATTCTTAACTTATTGTGCTCTTTTTCTTTCTGCTTAACTTTCCTTAAACGAATATTACGAAACTTTTTGTTATGTTTTCGCACAAGACACGGTTTGTTTGGAGAAAGAGAGGAACAGACAGCACGGAGAGGAGAAAAAATAAAAAGAAATGTTCATTATAAAAATATTCAATGAGCGATTACTTTCGTTTTCATGTGTGCGGCATTTACAGCAAGCAAATGTCTTTCTTTTGTAGACCACGATTGATTGTGAGTCAATGACTTAATAATTGAGGAGAGAGAGAGAAAAATGTGAGGCATTGGAGGTGATTTTATGATGGATTAAAATGGGTGGTATGGATTTTTTATGGATTTGGATTGTTTGAAGGTTCACTGGCTTTAGGATTAGATTTTATATAACTTGTTGTCTTGGCAGGACTCTAACTATGGAACCAGGCATTCAAAGTTCCACTTAAACCACAATAAGCCACACTTGTAATACCATGAAACTTCAGTGATACCCAAAACTCTTGGTAAAAACCTCAAAGCTTCAGAAAATTCCACAACTGCAATATTTAAAACTCATAACTTGATAATCAATTCAATGCCTCTCAAGCTAGCTGCCAATCACTGATAATTCAAGTATCAACAATTTCCTTCAAAACGCACATTACTCAATTTCAATTTACGAGCATATTTCGCATGAGTAAGTGCCACGCTGTTTCGTTGTAAGCGGCACGATCGCTATCTTTATGAATAAATTTCTTTGAATGAAGTTGTCATCCAACTAGCTCAGTCTCATTGTTTATTTTGAACATTTTGATAGGGTCATTATAACTATGACTTATCCGGTAATCGAGCATTGAGCTTTTCTATTTTTTCTTTTGTTGACAATTGAAATATTTTTGGGTGAGATTTTAAGTCAATTAAATCTCGAATTTTGGGTTTTTAATGATTCAATGACTGGAAATAATCTCATGATTTAAAATAATTGTGGATTGTTAAGTAATTTAAGTTAAATTTGATTTAGTTTTGTAAATGTTTCCGTATTAGTTTATAATTTGTTGCGCGAAATTTAATTCGTCGCATTATGTGTGATGTATTTTGGGCATTGGAGTGCTTACAGTGATTAATTTGATGAAGTTTTGATTTGATTAAGGGTGATTTTAGAATTGGAACTTGAGATTCAGTAAGGGTTGGCTAGTTTGTTGTATTTTGATATGAAAATATCCTACAAGAAATGTTGGTGGATGCATTGGAACAGTTCGAACTTATAAGATGCAAAATAAGTTGACAAAACCTCAAAAACCCAAAAAAATACTTTCCAACAGCTAAACTCCTAATTCCTCGCTCAAAAGTTCAAAACATCAACCAAAAATTCCGAATCTTTGTTGACAATCAATTAAATTAACTTCCTTTTAACCTTAAACTTCCTTTTAAACCTTCATTATGAAAATAATATCATCAAAATAACATTGTTGTTTTTTGCGTTGCTGTTCCTAAACAGTGAATCACGTTGCATGCTTTTAGTCTTCTTTTGTTTATTATGTTGTTGATTATGCTTCTGCTTTTCTGTACTGTTTGCTTTAAACATTTACAAGTAGCATTTAATGGCTTTTATTTAGCATAAGTAATTTGAGTAATTTGATTTTTATTCGTACGGTAATGTTGAAACTTTGTAATGGAAATGAGAATGTAGAGCGAGTTGGAAGGTTTTACCATGGTGGTTTGGATGTTTATAAATAGATTCTAGGAATTGAGGATTATTGGTGGCTTCCAGATGGATTTGAGTAGCTATGATTGAATTTTTTGATCCAAATTGAATATCCAGTCATAATTCTAGGTTAGATCACCTCCATGATCATGTTTCCTTGAAGGAATAACTGGTAAATTACACTTTAAGTTACACAAATGCAAAGATTTGAGTTGATCAGTCTAATAACTCTTGTGCCTAACTCTGAATGATTCCTGTAGGAATTACTGTAGTCAGATGAATAAATGTTTGAAGTTCCTGTTCGGAAACGAAAGTCTTTCTTTTAAAAATAAAGCTTTAAATCTCAAATTTATGAATCAAGCATTGTTTGACATGATAGTAGGCACCTTTGAGGTTCTAGCAATCCAGATATGCATCAACATCTTCATAAGAAACCACAATACGCCCAACCCAAACCTAAACAATTCAGAATGATTTCAAAATTTGTCACTCGATTAGAAATTCCAATTCGATTTCATTCCACATCAAATGCGTGCGAATATCCAATAAATATGTGGAAACAGTAGAAATCTTCAGACCAAAAAACATACGTAATTTACAGAAAATCTCTATTTTTCCATATTTTTATTTTAAAACTTTGAACTTGAAATTGGAAAGTTTTGTTTTGAAATTTTTAAAAAATATCATTTCAATGCGGAATTAGCCGTCTCATCAGATATGAATTAATTTGTATCAATTTACTTGAAGCCGACCTTTCACACCGACTGCAAATTTTATTCATTTTTATTTTGTTGCACAACATTAATTATTGAATATATTATCCATAGCTGCAATAGCTTAACAAACTTAAAACTCTTCACTGCACATGGTACATTGTGTAAATCATGCGGATAAATTAACATCGAGGTATTAATAATTAGCTAATGATTCTTACCTTCATATTCATTTTGTATGTGTGATTGATTAATCTAAGTTATATCCAACTAAGTCGCAGTCTTACTGAATTTATTTATTTATTTTTTTGACGCGATACCTCCGAAAGTATTGAGGAAACTGAGCAGTATCGGCTTTTTCTTATTATTTCTTCAACTCTCACTTTCAAAAAAACTCAAAATAGAAATTTTTTTTTCTTTCTTTTTTTATTTATTTTTTATCTTTTTTTTCTTGTGCTTCTCTTTCACTCTTTTATAGCCACACAACAACTTATTTTCTTCTTCTTATATCTTCTTTTCTCTGCTAACAGATGCTTTGATGATGAACGTGTAAATAATTTTGTCAATAGGCGGTGATAATTTTTATTAAAGATTTAATTCCGAAATTAAGGATTTTTTTAAGGATAGGATTTTTAATAAATTTGATACACAAGATCTTTTCATCAAGAGACGTAAACTGAATTTAATATTAAAACTTTTTCTTTACCATTACTTATAGGCTTTTACTCTGCTTTGCCTTAATGCGATTCGTACGTAAATGCAATGTTGGAGTGGTGGAATTGGTTTCAGTACGAACTTGTAAACCAATTTTTTTTTGCTACTCGCAGTTTTTGTGGTTTAATGTGTCTGTGATTATGGCTGCGGTTTGTCTGTTTTGTTTGATGTTCTGTCTATGATCTGTGGTTTACAAGACGGTAGCAAGATGCTGTTTTCTCACAGTCATAGACAAGAGTGAACTAAAGGGTGTCTGGACTCCCCTTGAAGTTAAGATTAATGATCAAATCCATAAAGCTTATTGTTGGACTACGAGTCTAACTTACATTAATCATATGCACTCTTGAATCTGTGCTTATTATCAAAGATTCTTTATTCAACTCTGGTTATTCTGTTTGTATAAATTCTCAGTCTGTGTACCTACATTAAGGTAATGTATGTCTAGTATTCACATTTCGCCATTGAAACAATTAATCTAGGATACGCATTTGATAAGAAAAATTCAGAATTTAACAAATTTTTAAGAGAATCGCGAGTGCTCTACACCAGTCATGGTCTTATTTTATTTGTAGTCTTTAGACCAATATGTTTCAATGAATTCGATTTGATCGGATAGAGAAGCCATTAAAAACTAGTCAATTGTGGAATTCACATTAGAGAGCACAGAAACTAAGTCAGTAAATCATTATTAAGCATCACATTTATAACAAGATCCTAGTTGAATCACTCAAAATTATACACAGTCATCACTAATGTGGTTAAATCCGTTTTTAAATTTCTCTTGATTTCTTATCATTTGAATGACATCTTATAATTTTAAAAAATACTAAGATTTCCTTAGACTCACCTTCCCAAATCCATTTATTTGTTTGACATGCTTGTGTATAAATTAATTTGACTCTTTGGTATAGCATATTGAACTCTGATCCTGTTAAGGTCTTATTTGTTGATTTTTATTTGCAATTTCTCTTGTCATACATTGCTCAGATATTGGCATTTGCTACAGACATTGTTTGTTTATCAGTCAAGCGATCAAAATTGATTCCAATTTGAAATATTTTGGTAAAAGGAATTTAATTAAATTTGTAAAATTTTGATTCAAAAGCCTGCTATAATGTAAATTAAGAAATATTTGATATCGGTTTTCACAAAAAAATCCCTAACCTGCAATATTTTATGCGCTTTATCCACACATATCAATCCACATTCCTACTTGTCACATGTTTCTTTCTTCTTTTATTTTGCTTCTTGTTTCATGCATTAAACCCAATTTATTTTGATCTTTTCTGCTACTTTTTTTCTCGTCTATGCGCAGGAAAAAAATGATCAAACAGCTTCAATTCAATCAATTTTTGTCATTACCGAAAAAAACGGTGACACGTGCAATTGTTTTAGAATACATACGAATGTTCAGTAAAGTATGACAAAAGTAAAATTTAAGACCGATAAAAAGAAAGAAGTCGGAAGCAATTTTCCGGATTTACTCTGGTGAGGTAATGCAGAATGAATGCTTTTCTTTTGTATTTTATTTGCTTCTTGCTCCTGTGCTGCTGGACAAAAGAGAGATTTTTACTTAATTGTGATTGTTTCAATGATTTGCTACAGATTATTCAACTTACAGAAATGTAACAGAGACTGAAAGTAATGCTGATGTAAAAACGGAAAAATCATATATGATATGGATGTAAATATGAAATAAAGGGTCACATACGTCAATCGGCATGATCGAATTATTGTTGTGGCATAATTGTGAGTTGATAAATCATAGAAAAAGCGATGCTTTATTTATCAATGAAGTTGTGTCTCTCAACTGTGAGTCATACCAATGTGATTATTTAGAAATTGACGTACATGACAATCAGCACTAGAAGATGACAATTGAACACATCTGTTACCGATCTGCAGACAACAGCTGTGGAGCTCGACCAATCAAGTCCGTTGTTAGTTCTTTTATGATAGCATGGAGTCATTTAGATGATCAAAATCTCATTGATATAAGCTATTAGGCATTAACATTATTGATTTTGTAACTGAGACCACTGTGTGAGATTAATGCTGTCAAGTTTGCTTCTGTCATCTACGGTTATCATCTGCAAAAACTTCTTCATCAGAAGGAAATTTCATCAAATTCACAGCGAGTCAAACAACAAATTTAAAACTCAAAGTCCATCAAAAAGGCATAAAAAATCTGCAATAAAATAAAGTTGAAAGGCAATGTAAATCAACTTTGCTATGTAGCTATTAAACAACCTCAGCTGGGTGTCAGCAAAAAGTCAGCAGCATTTAATTTGATTTTTTTTTATGAATTATCAAATTTTTCACGCAGAAAATGTCGTCACAATTTTGACAGTTCTCAATATCAATCAAACGGGATTTATTCCGTTATATATAAAAATAAATTGTCTAGACTCTAGACTATGTGGTTGAGCAAGTTTGTGTTTGTGGGTTATTTTTTTTTTCTTGCCCAGATTGCAGTTGATTGGAAGGATTATTGAGGTAAGGAAATAAATTTGATTCGTGACGCAGGTTTGAGAGCAAAAAAATGTCCTGGAAATCATTAAGCAACTTTGTTGATTTTAGGGGTCGTTCATAAATGATGTTTATCGCAAAATTGAATATTTTACATGTTTTTACCAAAAATCAACCCTTAAAGTTGATCTCAAGAAGTCTCATTAAGATAACATAATTCATATTCCCAACCTTCTCGATTCCACACCTTCATTACCAAAAAACCAGTCAAAAAAAATCTCGAAACTTTCAAATAAAGTTGTTCAATGATTACAGCACAAAATTAGGCACATTCATGCAATATAATGAAAATATTAAATTATTAAAATTTGCAATTTTTTTTCATCACATTCGAAACTCATAAAAAAGAAGTCAGCGATATATTGGGAGCAATTTGAAATTTGCAATGCCTCAATCTACTTAGCTATTTTCATTAAAACTATTTTTTTTTTCGCCTAGTGATGCTCTTTTCATCTTACTTAATACATTCACTTTTGAAGCTAATCGGTATGAATCACGTGTGATATAATAATGAATGTTTTGACTCATTAAAAATCAAAATAGATTACTTGCGATGTAATGGATCATAATGAATATATTGTGAATTTAATTGATCATTAATTGTTATATGATGAAAGTACTCTCTTTAATTTTCGTGAAGATGGATGAGTTGGTTATTTTTTTGGGGGCTTTTGTGGCATTTTGGCTTCTTGATGTTTAGTGCAAAAAATTGATTTTTGTGAGCAACTTTCAATTGATGACTTGGATTTTGATTGTGAAAAAATTGGAAATTTTAATTAAAGTTTCAATTGAATGATTTATAAAAGCAAAGAATAACTAGAAAGCTTTAGAGAACGGCTTCTAGGGATACCCGACCTTAGTAAGATAGAGCATCACTTTAGGGTATAAATAAGAACTGTCTTTGACTCCTGAATGGTCACTAGTATTCAATTTCAGAAGAATTTTCAACATCAATTAAAACACGCACTTGCAGATATCCTTGACTCAGTATCAAAATAATATTTCGTCAATCAAAATTATTCATGTAAATTTTTTGCGATGATATATCACAAATTAGGTCACATATACGAACAAAAACAATTTCAATGGAATCTAATAAATTTCAGTCATCATTGTCACGACCTGGAGATATTAATTAATCTCTGTAATGAATGCCCAACAGCAGCTGTTTTACGCCTTTTTTTAATTCATCGAATATTTTCATAAGGTCATTTTTTTATTTGTTTTTCGAGAGAGTTGCAAGAGCAGAAATCTTGTACATATATGTAAATTGGAGGTCTCTTTATCAGTACAAAAAAATTGTTTTTCTTTTACTAATTTAAAACTAGTTCAAGTTTCAATAGTTAAACATGAAGTTCGAGATATAAAACTTTTAAAATTCATCTCTTGTATTAAATTAGTTGAGGTAAATGGATAGCTGTTGTGGTGGATACTCTTTCAGTTTTAACAGACTTCTTTGGTATTATGGGTCGTTTTTAAAGTAATGTAGCTCTAAAGACATAATTCAAGTTTTGTAAAGTCGTTGGTGACTTTTTGGATGATAATAAAGACGCGGAACTGAAAATTATATTTTGATAATTTTTGATCATTTCATCAGTTCTTCACCCTTGGATGAGATTCTTTTAGTTTTAGCCAAGAGATCCCCTCTTTTCTTGCTATGTTCCAAAATATGTCAATTCTCTAAGTTACTTAACATTCAAATAACCCCAAAATACTAAAAATAAATATTTTCAAGTAAATGAGCGGTAGTTCCCAATATAAAAATGAAAAGTCTTCGTATAAAGTTTTATGGAATCCATTATATGTACATATGTAGAAGATAAGATGTAAGAGATATGAGGGTCTTGTGCTTTTAATTGCATCCTTTCCGTTACCTTGTATCAAAATTTATTGAACAAAAATGTGATTAAGCAATAAGAAAACAATTTTGGGAAATTATAGGTTCAGGATAGGTTGACAGGAACGCTTTATGGGTTCGTAATTATCTGAATTGTACCTTTGTGTCCTCGATTTTCTAACAAAGTCATCAATAAACTAAATATAGTACTTCATAATGTAATACCTGACGTAGACAATAAGGAATGATGGTTCAATATTATTGTAAAGAAAATAGACATCATTTAAGCAATATGCTGGTGATAATAAAAATTAACTGTTATGTGAGTTTATAAGAATGTTTTAGTCTCAAGCTATCGATGTTATTTTCATACAAAATGAAGACTGTCATTCATGAAAATGAGACCATAAAAATTTAAAGGCATTTCAAATGTTATTTGAGAGTAATTGAGTGTTTTGATTAATATTTAATATTTTACATCTATGAATAGGTGAAGCAGAGGCATAGTCAAGGGAGGGAGGCATAGACTTAACAATTGAGAGGCTTTTAAGGTTGATTGTCCAAAAAAAAAAAATCAAGCCCAATTGAAGAACACAATCCTTCTTCTGAAGTGAGATCAATGCCTTAGTTGACTGTCAATCCATTACAATTATCAAAAACCATAATTGAATAAAATTAAAAGCTCAAAAATTCCAATCCGGAAATAATTTTCATTATTTTAAATCTACTTAAATAAGTTCACCCAAAAATGCATGCAAATTCGCTAAGCTAAAACAACATAAGCTTAAGTTTAAAATCTGCATCAAGCAAAAAATTATATCCAGCAAGCATATATTTAATTTCACACTCTACAAACTTGAGATTAACATTTAATCTATTGACATGCATTGCGTCATCGGGAAGTTCCTCTCGTTAAACATAACAGAAGAGAGAAAAACTTGTTCAATTTTTTTTTAAGTACAGACAACAAATGCATAATAATAATTAATATCTTATACAGTAAAAAGTGCTATGAAAAATTACTGTTGTTAACATGACGTATTATGATAAATTGTTTTGTATGCA